CCCCCCCCCCCCCCCTCCTCCCCACCCACGCTCTGAACTCTACGAAGTCCTGATGGACCCCTAGAAGGAGCCCGAGCAGCAAAGGTTCAAGACCAACCAGGAGATTGCATACTTCCACCGCTCCTGCCAAGCCGTTCAGGCTTTAAGGCTGTAGGCTTGAGGGCTTACTGTAGGGGCCTGAATACTTAGAATCTAGGGTTGTGGGCGCCCTACTGTAAGGAAGGAATAACATCGGTAGTGATCTAGGCTTCTATATCAGGGCCTTGGAGTTGGCTCAATCTGTAAGACAGGGTCCTTTCGAAGAACAAGAGAATGTGAAGAGTAATTCTTTTGGGTTTAGGGTTTAGGGCCTCATAAGCATCAACAATTCATGATAGCAACAGGGCCTTGCAAGCTTTCCAGTACTATGACATGAAGAGGCAAATTTCAGAATGTTGAAGTGAGGCTCTGGCTCCAGGTTCGTTTGGACTGTATGTCTACATCGAAAAAACTATAGATCGAATAGGGCTGGAATGCCCACGCTGCAATGCATCAGTCGAAGTCTAAAGACTAAACCACGCACACGACAACTTGGGAGTTATCAGTTCGGCGCTTGGGGTGGCCCTGAGCTGCGTAAGCTGCCCAAACCCCGAGCGTTGCAAAGAGTATACTTCCACTCATAATTACAGGTTGAACCCTTCGGCCTCGTAATATCATGAAAAGGACACACAAGTTTTCACACCCCTTCTGCAAGATCTTGGCATTCTGGACAAGGGACCCACCTCGTCTACCTGTATTAAAGTCCGCAGCAAGATTTGCTTGCGGCCCCATGGCAAACAAAGGGTTTACTCTGAGACCGTGCCAGCACACGAGACTTAACGTCCTAGCAGGTGAAGCAAAACCTAGACCCTAGGCCCCTAAACTGTACGCCCTCAACCCTAAACCGTCCTGGCGGGACCATCGATGCCACTCTGAGCCAATCTCGCGCTGATCCACAAATCGAGTCCTAAGAACGGAGGCGACTCTAAGGTGTTTCTTTGCTTAGGTTTCGGGGTTCGGACTTCGGGTTCAGGGTTCAGGGGTTCTTTGCTTGGGGTTTGGGGTTCGGATGTACTGTAGGGCTGAGGGTTTAGCAGTTTCTTGATATGGGTCGGGCAAAGGTTCAGTGTTTAGGGATGTAGAGTTTAGGGGTGCTTTGTCAGGCTTCAGTGCTTTGGGTTAGGGCGTCGGACCCCCATGACATAGGCACCGGAACCCTAAACCCTAAACCCTAAACCCAGGGTGGGAACTTACATAGGCACCGGGCTGCACGGTTTTGATGGCCGAGGCAACTGGTAAGGTTTTCGCTGGGGGGTTTAGAGTTTAGGGGTTTAGGATTTAGGGCTTAGGGGTTTAGAGCTTAGGATATGTCTTCTACAGTTCTTATGCCACCTAGTAGTAAAGGAATACTCGCACTAACAGTTTTTGTGCCACCTACTAGTCAAGGGATACCCTAAACGTTAAACCCTAAACCCTAAACCCTAAACCCTAAACCCTAAACCCGGATACTCGCACTAGCATTTCAGACCTCTAAACTTTGGCTCCTCCTCGGTGAGGAGACTGAAACCTGGCCGAGACCCTGTGAGCACTCTGAAAACTCGTAGCTCCAATTGAAACTTTAGGGTTTAGGGTTTAGGGCTTTGTGTTTAGGGTAATTAGGGTTTAGGGTTTAGGGCTTTGTGTCTAGGGTAATTAGGGTTTAGGGTTTAGGGCTTTGGGTTTAGGGTAATTAGGGTTTAGGGTGAGGCCTCTGGGGTTAAGGAATCTTCCAACCAGAAGCCCTGGCAGTAGATGTCTGCATCTGTGCTGCAGCTTCGAGTAGGCCAGCTCGAGATCTTCGGATAGGATTGCACTCCTCTTCAGTTCGCAGCTTTTCAGGGCTCAGGGCTTCTAGGGCTAAGGCTTTGGGACTTCGAGTGTAAGACGCCGCTGCCACTGGTAACCCTAAACCCTAAACCCTCTAGCATTTCGCAAACTGTCTGTCTTGGTTCAGAATGTAGGGATTACTTAGGGGTTTGTGAGTCATGGAGCCGCTTCATGAGGTCGAGGGTTAGGGTTTAGGGCTTAGGGCTTAGGGCTTAGGTTCAGGGTTCAGGGTTCAGGGTTCAGGGTTCAGGGTTTAGGGTTTAGCGCGCAATGGCTAAATGCTGGCAGCCTCACCCTACAACAAGTAACGAGGCGCACTCTTTCGCGCAGCCCGACCTTAGCTGAAGACATAAGATGATGCCGGAATGGTTAGAAATGGTTCTCCCTCTCATAACCGCACTCCATACAAGCCGCTAATCCCGACGCTGATGATCGAGGCTACACTACCTCATGATACATGCCGAAGGGAAGGAAAACACACAGATAGGTAGGACGACGCCTCGACTGAATCTCCCAAGCCTGAACATGCTTAACTTCACGGATTGGCGGTCTCAGTCTCAGCCCCAAACCCTGGACCCGTAGTCTTAAACCCTAAACCCTGATTCCTGTAAGTCCTATCCTAAACCCTCGCCCCTAAACCCAAAACCCTCGCCCCTACACCCTAAACCCTAAACCCTAAACCCTCGCCCCTACACCTAAACCCTAAACCCTCGCCTCTAAACCCTAAACCCTCTCCCCTAAAGCCTAAACCCTGAACCCTAAACACTGAACCCCACCCAATCCTCAGAAGTCTACCGCAGCAGATCGCCACGAAGCAGTAGATAGCATTCGAGGCGACCAGGAATCCATAGCTCGCCTTAGCTGGTGCTTCTGTAGGGTTTAGGGTTTAGGGGTTTAGGGTTTAGGGTATAAAGTCGAGAGTTTAGGGGTTTAGGGTATAATGCTTGAAGTTTAGGGACTTAGGGATTTGGGGTTTTGGGCCTATAGTAGTAAGTGCATGAAGAAGTTCAGGGCAAGGGTCCAGAAGTGTGGGTTTCTAGAGGACTTAAGCCCTAAACCCTACATCCTAAACCCTAAATTTAAACCGCTTCGGGTTTAGAGGACTTAAATCCGAAAACCTAAATCCTAAAATTTGAACCTTGTTAAGGGTTTCGGGCTTAGGGTTCAGAGGACTTAAACCCTAAACCGAAATCCTAAACCCAGGTCATAGGCTTGGAGTCCAACCAGGCCCTGCTACTCCACATTCCACTATGCAGAATATCTTGTTGTATGTTCCCGTATGGAACACTTCCAGGAATTCATGGCTCTGAATTGAGGGATATCCGGATTCTCCTGGAGTGCCCACCGGGACAAAAACAAGCAAGCGAAACCCCGCACTACAACCCAAAACAGAAGTCGGTGCTGCCAAGGCACGCTGAAAACCTCCCCCCGCACATGGAGACCTATCAGCGGGATAATGCCGAGGAGAGTGAAGAAGGCAGTCAGCACATAAGCCAGACCTCCAGTCGCTCCGGGGTTTACATCTAAACCCTAAACCCTAGTGTTTTTGGTTTTCCTGCAAGCCCATGCATCCTGCGACCCGAGGGAGGAGGGGGGGGGGCGGCTCGGATAGACACCTAACCTGGCGTGGGCTAGATGAAGCAGGAACTAGAAATACAGTGGAAGTCCATATATACCAGGCCAAACGCACATAAGAGTGGGACCTGATTCCAACAGAAAAGCAGTAGTGTGCGTGGAAGCTTTGCGGAATGATTGCCAACTTTCGTCGTGTCAAGCTGTAGGTATGGTTTTGGGTCTGGGTGGGGATCCTTGGCGAAGCTTAAAACCTAAACCCTCCAAATTTGAACCCCCTCCAAATTGCCATAAGCACCCTAAGCCCTAAACCGTGCAAATTCATGTAAACCTATCCCTAAACCCCATAAATCATTGTAGAACCCAAACCCTATAAGCTACTATGAGGAATAGAACCGAGACATTAGTATAAACTACAAACCCTACTAGCACTAAACCCTTCCTTAAAAACCCAACTCTCTGCAGTGCGCGCGACCCGGCAGCCAAATCAGAATTCGGCAGCCGATATCCTTCTCCAGAGCGCCTTCCTGCAGTGTTTTTAGGCGTCTATAGGCTTTTTGGGGTCCAAGGGTTAAGGGTTTAGGGTTCAGTTTTTTGTTGAAGGCCTGTTGAGGTCTGCACGAACTTTCAGTCGGCTTCACCCAACCCATATTGGGCAGGCATACCTGGAGCCCCTCAGATTCCTCGACGATTTGTTGAGCCTGCATGAGATCCAGCGTGGTTTCTCCCCACGTGGCCAAGATGTACCCAATGGTTACAAAGGTGGACGATGGCATTCTGAGGTTGACTGTGCAGGGTTTAGGGCGTGAGGTTCTGGGTTGAGAGCGGTTGACAGCCATCGTTCCCCTTCGCTCTACTCACTATCCACTTTGGTAAAGACCGATTTGCAACAGTTGTCAACATATTCATCGAAAGTGCTAACTTACTGAGTCCCCAGCCCCCACACGCAGCAACAAACGCACACACACACACAGAGAAAAGTGAACATGACATGCGAGTGGGTTGCAGAATGCTCTGGTCACGGCTTTGAGATCATTGTTCACGTGTCGACTCCGTCGCTACATTTACCATACCGCCTTAACCATCATCTAGCCCATCTGAGAAGGAAATCGGAGCGTCTCCCTAAACCCTAAACCCGAAGGGCAGGATGACAGAAGCCGGGAGTTCAGACGCAAAATCCATTGAACAAGGCATGGAATCGACTTATCATGGCATTTCTTAAACCCCCAAAAAGAACCCTGAGAAAACCCAAAATGGTTGAGGCCCTAGGGCCCTAGCCAAGTCCCGACTTTGAACTTTGAGTTTTCATGATAAGAGCACGACAAAAGAGCACTAACAAAGTGTTTAAGGTGCAGTCCTGACCAAGGCTAACGAAGAAGGTTTGGGTACCTGGCCTTAAGAGTAACCAAACGAGGCTGAAATTCTCCGGCATGAAAGATCGTAGTCAGATTGGTCGTCGGAGCCGCAGAGACCGCGCACAAGTGACGTCATAGTATTCTCTGTAATGTAGGGGACTTAAGAATTGAATTAGGGCTTCGGCTCTTGTACTTCTTCTACGGACTCGCATCCTTCTGAACGGAGACTCAGCTGCCCCCTCGTGAAGCATCTCAATTTGTGGGCCCCTGCGAACGCCCATGGCATGTAACTCTCGAAGCTTAGCTTCCTGGGTATTCTCGCCAGTCGAAGACATCACCGGTTGCCTGCAAGCGGGCCTGCATGGCAGCCCTGACATGTCGAGCGTTGACTTTGCGGCTGTCCTTTTGCCGGCTGTCATGATGCCCTTCGCGGCAGACGTCAGGCGCTCGGAGAGCGGAGATGACGGCTCCACTGTCTTCTCTAGACTCTCTAGACCTGGAATATCTTCTGGAAGAGACTCCAGAAAGGTTGCAGCCTGAGCCGTGGATGCCTCGCCGTCAGCTCTCCAGCTTTAAGGATGGTCCTGTATCTGCTGGGTCGTGAGTATGTTGCCAAATCAAAATCGAGTCTCAGGAGACACATCAGCAGCAATTTCGAAGTGCTATAACAAGGAAACCTTACAGTAATATTGGTAATTACTATTTAGGCTTATACATTAAGTAACCTCTTGGACTCGCTAGCCTTAAGCCCTGAAACCCTACACCCTAAGACAGTAAACCTTAAAACCCTGAGACCCGAAACCCTGAACCCCAAGCGACTCTGGTTAAGTGAAGTGGCCGTAGTAAGTAATTAGAACGGGAGTTCCGGGCACCTTATCTCATAATCATATAGGGACTATAAGAGAATACTGATGCCCTTTTCATCAGCCTTCTGTAGTCAACCCTAATTCCTAAACCCAAAAACCCGAAACCCTGCGCCCGAATCCCCTAAACCTCTTTCTTCTTTTCGGCATCATTGTGGTTTTCGGTTTAGGCATGTAGGGTTTAGGGTTTAGGGGTTGAGGGTTTAGTGCATTTGATTAGGTGCTAATTGAGGGATTAGGGCATTTAGGGTTTGGGGTTTAGGGGTTGAGGGTTCAGGGCATTTCGGGTTTAGGGTTTAGGGGTTCAGGAATGTCATATACGGGCTTGAAGCATCCGATTACTAGAAGCAAAAGGAGGCGCTCTTTGGTCAACAATTCGAATTCTTCAGGCTTCTACCGTATGTAGGACATCTAGGATTTAGGGTTCAAGGTCCCGCAGTAACATGTTCACCTTCGACCCCTACACACCTTGAGCGCATCGGGTCAGATCTCCCACTCCATGGGGCAACATATGGGTAGTTCTCCGAATTAGGGTCCCTTTCTAGGTCCCCAATATATAGTACGGCACCCTTGTAAAAAGGGACCCTAAAAGGGACCCTAATTTAGATAGCTACCAAAAACCTGTAATCGTCTGACGGTATAGTGTTGAGGGTGCGGGGATTTGGGTGTAGATTTTAGGGTTTTTCTTGCATCCCTGAAACGGGGGTCTAGACCTGCAAGCAGAACGCTGTTGACAGCCCTGGTTGTTGCTATTCCTGTGGCAACCGGCATTCCGCGCAGAGTTCCCACAATGAAAACAGGAAATGTCGTGGATGCAGTCTACCACTATAGTCAGTAAAACCCTACCCCCTACACCCTAAACCCTAAGACCGGTAGGATCAGGGGCACAGTGCCCCAGTGCCCTCTATCAACAGAGGCTGCGGATCCGGGTCTTCAGGCGTCGGAGTTGAAATTAGGGTTTAGGGGTTTAGGGTTTAGGGTTTAGGGTTTAAGGTTTAGGGTTTAGGGGTTTAGGCTTTAGGGTTTGATCTTCGTGCCCCCATGGTCCTGCACAGAGAGGTGCGTCAAGCTTGGAGACGCCAGAATAGAGACATGCCTCATGCAGATAGGTCATGAGTTTGAGGGCTGGGGAGATTTCAAGGCTTAGGGTTCATGGTTGTACCCTAAACCCTAAACCCTAAACCCTAGGGGGTTATAAGGATTCCGGGTTTGGGGCCTTTTGGAGAGCGAGGCAGAAACCCTGAGTCCTTACATCGATCACCCGAAGAGTCGGTGTCCTAAAAAGCTGTGCACCATCGGTTTAGGGTTTAGGGACCGTGAGAGCCTGAAATCCCGAAGCCCGATATCACTGAAGCCTTACATGGGATCCGTACGTCCTCAACCCTAAAACCCTAAACCCTAAACCCTATAAACCCCAACCGCTAAGGATCGGAAGGTCACAATGTTTCGGGCTGAAGGCTCATGCATCCCCTCCGAAAGCGGAACAGTCAGGTCAGACACCCAAGGCTCGCAACACCGACCGAGCAAGGAAGACCCCCCAGTCATATCAGAAAAGTACATTGTGGAGGCCTGCATTTTATGAACTTAGCTAATTCATGCGATGTGTGAGTTTCTTTCGGGCTCCAGTCATAATATAGGGTCTTGAACATTGGTCTGGAGGACAAAACAATACAAAGTTAAACTCTACTATATTTTACTACACTATATGGTGCTATAGTATACTTTGGTTACTATACTATACGTATACGCTAAACCCTAAACCCTAAACCCTATACTATACGTTAGACAGACAGATTGACGTCTCTGGTTGACGGCTTTGGATCCAGAGTTCAGGGCTTCAGTGCGGATTCAGGGTTCACTTGGGTTTAGGGTTCAGGGCTTTCGGGTTTAGGGTTTAAGCATGGAGGGTTTCAGGCTGTGAAGGGCTATTGGGGGTGAGGGGTTTAAGGCTGGATTTGTGGAGGGTTTGAGAGCTCAAAGAGTTTAAGGCGCATAGTTGCATGTTGCCCACAAACAACCATGGCATGGTAACTGGGCTTCGAGGGAGGTCTCGTACCTTCCGCATCTATCTCCTTTTTAACCCGAAGTGCAGAGACTGCTCCAGGGCAATGGATCTATCGTTGCGATCTATTTTCCGATACAGCAAGATAGACAAGTTGGCTTCGTAGCGTAAGTTAGTCTAATAGGTCAACTCCTGTAACCACTAGACCTCTTGGCAAGCCCTACACCTCAAGATTAAGGCAGCACTAACCGCCCACAGTCCGAGTGGCGACACCCTGTCGATGACTCGCATGCTCGTCGATGCCCTGAACGTGGCGACGATACGCAGGAAGTCACTATGCAATAGCAGCACGGGTTCATGCTGTTCACAAGCATCTTGCTGGACACCTGAGGACGCACTCATGTACCCGCGACAGTAAGGAGGTGCATATACATGCATATACATGCGCACGAGTACGTGAATGTGCAGGCGCCTATGCATGTGCTTGTGCATGTGCACATGCGTCTGTATGTATGTGTATGCGTATATGCGCGTGTCGGTCTGTGTGTCTGTCTGTCGGTCTGGTAGTCAGTCAGTCAGTCTGTCTGTCTGTCTGTCCGTCTGTCTGCATGTATGTGTGTACACACACACACGTACATACATGCATATATAGATAGACCGAAAGAAAGAAAGATTGACGTATTTTCAGACAGTTAGTTAGCAAGATACATGATTCGGCAGATCGGTAGATCTGTACATCGATCGATCGACAGTTCGACAGTTCGACAGACAGACAGACAGACAGACAGACAGACAGACAGACAGACAGACAGACAGGCAGACAACAACACGAGGAGCTGATGTCAAATGTTGACAGCCCGCAAGAATAAGCTGGACAGTAGGGGTCACAGAAACTGTGTTGACTGCTCGGCCATGACTTCGCAAAGACATAACCAACAAAAGCACCCTACCACCCGAGAACCTCAATGCCAATATGAAGGTTGTTTTAGTGTTGATTTCTTTTCTTGGAGTGATCAGGGCGGGCCCCCGAAACAGCCCTGAACCCTCCGAATGTATGTCTTTACTGCTGTCCCCGCCGGGGGGGCCTGAAGACTGTTACGAGGTCTTATAGAATTCTTTAAAGAAAAGAAGCTTTACAAACTTTTATACACAACTAAGTCATGCAGGTGGGGTACGAAGTGGCCGCACGCGTCTTGCTGCGCCGGGTCTGCAACGAGGTCACTTCGTCAGGGTCCTGTGCTCTTTATCAGAAACCACAGAGATTCCAATAGCATTTTACTTGAGAATACCCATAGGCCCCATGGTAGTTCCTTTTCGGGATTACCTTAAAGGATTGAAAATATGAACCCCGGAAAGGAACTACTATGGGGCCTATGGGTACTCCTTTGAATACAGAGGGATCTTTACGTAAATTCTCTGAACACTGGAAGCCCTTTCAACACGTTTCAACTACCCATGAGCCCAAAGAAATACCCCCACGCCCAACCGCAAACCCCAACCCTCAAACTCTCTCGGTCTTTTGAACAGTGCCCCCTATTCCATGAACCTATTGAGCTCGCGCAACTGTCAGTGGCGTGTAGGGTGTAATGCTGTCGGGGTTGAGGGTTCAACAGGTTTATGGACAAGGGCTTAGTGGTTTAGGGGATTCGGGTTTGGGCAGGGTTAGGGAGGTAGGGGTTCGAATGAAGGCTTGAGGTGGGTGACAAGTGTAGAACTTTGACGGTCTAGGGCTGGGGTTTCTGGCGCAATGTAGGAGACCAGAAGCCCAAAGCCCCCACCGCGAGCCACCGTTACTTAGACTCTTCTTGGCACTCACTCTTCTGATGGATAGAATTCTCAAGGCTGGTTCCTTACTAGCTGTATGAACCTTTTACCGAAGCGGGCAAGACCTATGAAAGACAGCATGACGGGCTCGTTCCAGCTTGCAGCTGGCATGTTAGGAGCCTGATTGGGGTAGGTCTGTATATGTATATTGCTATATATATATATATATATATGTCTATATATCTATATATCTATATATGTATATATATGTATATGTATATGTATATGTATATGTATAGGTGCGCGCACATTGCCATAGTTCTACACGGATTATAATGGGACGGAGACACTTGGCTGGAGAGTCTCAGTCACGGTACCTACAACCCTACTCGGGTTTAGGGTTTAGGGTTTAGGGTTTAGGACTTAACCATCCTAAATTCGAAGCCGCAAAGCCTGACATGCGAACAACCTGTCCCAGTGTCTCTGCAAGTAGGGGTTTGGCAGGTCCAAACTCGAGGTCCAGAGGGAGTCTCCTGAAAAGTCTGAAGAGAGCTTAAAGCTTGGGGTTTAGGGACCCAAACATCATCCGCAAATCCGAAAAGGCGACGAACCGGAACAGTACTCACGATTGAAGGTATCAATAGTACTCCCACGTCTGCTGAATCAGCCAATGAGAATGACCATTAACTTTGTGGCCACTGTACTGCTGACTCTTGTGGTGATTATGCCTCATGGTATTGTTGGTATTGTTGTGTGCCCGGCGAGTCTGCGACATAGCTGCAATGCTGTCGGCATTGCTGCTGCTGCTGCTGCTGCGCTCTACTTCAACGACCACCGAACCACATCTGCTGACACAACTGCCTGTGCCACCGCCACTAGTAGCTTTGCCTACGATGGCTGCCACCACCATTAACATAATCAAGTAACTACTAATTGCGACAAATTAGCTCCAGGAGCCCTGACCAAAACAATGGCCGAATCAGCACGATCATTATTGTCATAAGTACACGAATGTTGTAGTTATGATTGTTATTATTGATGATTATTGCTATTGCTATGGTAGCATTTCTATAGCATTATTATTGTTAGTCTGGCTAGTACTGTTATAACTGATATTCTTCTTCTATTCTTTATGAATATAACTATTCGTATCAGTATGATAGTGCTATAGATTACTATTTTTACAACGTAGCTTGCTGTAGTGTTCATTAGTATCATCGTTTTCCGGTCTAGAGAACTGAAAAACCCTGGCCGGGCCACCTCATCGAAACCGTCGGTCATGTGGGGAAGCAGCGAAGGCGATGCCGACTGAGTAGTCGACTTGGTGCGTCCCTTTGCCTCCTCCTCAGTGACTAAAAAAACAGAGGCCTTTACAAGTAGAAGAGAATTCTGAGCATACTATAGTGACCGTACAGTAGATCATGATACGAATACTAACGTGGTAATATGTGGTAAATATTTCGGCTTCTAAATTTAGGTGCGCATGATGGCAGGGCTCGGAGTTGAACAAAGGTTTCGGGACTTCAAAGTTCAGGGCTTAGGGCTTCAAGGGCTTAGGGTTCAGGGCTTACGGGGAATAGGGCTTGCTGGTGAGGGCTATTCAGGTTTATGGTTGCGGGCTCGGGGACTTAGGGCTCAGGAGTTCAGGTAAATCGTAAGCCTTAAGCCTGAAACCCGACCTTACAGCGCGCAGGCAGGAACCGCTCACTTACGGTCCCTTGCATAAAGGCCCGGCCATATGGGCTAGCACCAAATAACACCCAAAACTCTGAACCGCATAAACCTAAAACAGCCCAAATGAACCCTGAACCGATACATCCAGGGCTGCTGTAAGGGCTTGATGAGGGTTTCTCAGAAAGTTCTGTATGGGATTACCGAATTTTCTCAAGGTAAGGCTTACAACATGGTACGATGAAGAGATTCATAAACTTTCACATGGCTGCTATCGGGTTTTATATGCGGGCTTGGACCTTGCCGGATACAGCCCTCTAGAAAGCCCAAAGAACACCCAAGCTGCGAATCTAGGGGCCTTTACAATTCGAATAGGGTTTTGGAGTATATTATACTACCATTGTAATAAGGAGCCCCTCAAGCCCCTAAACCCCTAAACTCCCAAACCCTCAAGCCCCTAAACCCCCAAACCCTCAAGCCCCTAAACCCCTAAACCCCCAAACTCTGTAAACCACCAAAATCGTGTGAGCAATTATTATAGCCCCGACACCCTAAACCCTTCGACTTATAGTAGCCCTTATAGAACCCTCAAGAACTCCCAAAACCCCATTCTAATCCCAAAACCCCTCTCAACCCCCAAACCCTCAAGCCCCTAAACCCCCAA